CCCTACATCTAGTGCCCTTTACTGCTTCTTCCATTTCCAAGTTTTATCGGTCATCAAGCTATATAATTAATGTTGCTCTGCTTGTCTTACTGACCGATAATAAATCATAATCATAACCTTTCCTATCCCCCTTCTTTAAAATCAACCGTCAAGTGGTGTCTACGCTGATCAACCAATCAAAATGTCCACTGCTTATCACACTTCTTATAAGTCCTACCATTCGCTGAGAGTACGAACAGTTCTGCGGTCTCCCAACACCAAGGATCGTTCAATCGTCATGGTTGCGCCACGAAAAACTAAGTCGTTGTCTCATCAGGTTTCCGATGTCACCTCGTCCACACATACAGTCTACGCTCTCAAGACGGAACGAGTCACTTCACCAACAAAAGTTCTCAAGATGGAAGTAGTGGTGTTACGGTAAGGCTCAGCATTGCATACATATTGCAGAGAAAAAGAGGAGCGCTGCAGTCAAAAATTTCTCTCAGAGCTGCAGGGGAACGAAGAAAACGGAAACGTTTTGTGATGAAACTTTTTCCTAGGGCGCTGAAGAAAGCTCGGGCTACTCACTGTTGCGACATTTTCGATTCTGGTCGAGCACTTGGTTTCAACTTTATCATTATGACACTTGTAGGAGCATCGCTTATGGTACGTGTTTCATCAGAATCAGATATTGTTTTTCCTTCAGAAGCACTTTCTAGCACTAGCACTAAGCTCAGCAAGCATAATAGATTTTGGTGAAGGATGTGCTAAGAGAGTGAAGAAGTGAGGAGGTGGCGCCATCTCTCCAGGACCGATTCTCGACCATTCCAACAAGGCGGTGTTCCCCTTTGAGTTTGACTAGCTGCTAGCGGACTGCTGTAGATCAGCACATCTAGGTCGCGGCGAGGGCTTCTAGACAAGTGTTCGAAGCGGGTCACTTTCCCACAAGAGCCAAGTGATTCATCGTGGTAGTGCTGCATGTTAAGTTGAACTACGCAAATGGTCTGCTAGCTTGCGCAGTAGATGCCCTGTAAGGCACCCGTAGAAGTTTCATCTGATGGTGGGAGGGTAAAGACGCCGACCCACCGTATCACAGAGATGGGGAGGAGGGCCGTCTACCCCATTTGAAAGCGGTGGCTGCCGCGATCAGGGGATCAATTTCTACTCTGTCCAGCTGTCAGTTGTTTCAGAGGAAAATGTCAGGTTTCTCAAAGGAAAATGTCCTACCAATAACGTATCCTGCATTCTGTTTATATGTAGTAAGCACCCACGCCCACACCACCTCCGAGAAACGGAATGCGAGCTGGCTCCTGATAGAATCGCTTTTACTAACTACCACCTTATAAGTTCTTCTTTGATGGAGCTGGAGGCAGTGTAGTGGGTAAGACGACGCGGTGATGTCTGGTCCGTACTAGGCGCTGTCTGAGAAAACCAGTGAAAAACTTGTATTTTCACATGAGCATAAATTGTTGTGCTTACTGGGCCTAGCCAACGGACCACATGAGCAGCCCTCAACGCTGTTTCGATTGGAGTTGGAATTCTTGGGAAGGGAGTAGGATCAAGCAGAGAGCTGAACAAGCACTCAATCCCGATGTAATGTGATGCTGGTGCGACGTGTTCCAGGACCTCCGAAAGGCCAATAAAGTAAAGCTTAATGCGTTCACGATGGGATGCGCCTTGTCAGTTGGACTTCAAACGTTGGAGTCTATACAAGAGCTACATAACGTCGGGTAAGGTCCCATGTTAACCTGCTGTTACTTTTGGCCTATAGCTTCTCTTTTGTGTTATGTCAAAGTGCAGTATATGCAGTTAATGAACCCCAGTATCCTGCACCATCCATGTGTCTCAATTTATGATGGGGCGGGTAGGTAGGGGAGGGCAGATCGTTCGCTGCGGATGTTGGAGCGTTTCAGGAGGTCTGGGTTTGGCGCGGTGCAAGCCTGTTCTCCAGAAGTTGTGCCAGTCTCCTCAATTCATGGAGAAAAGGCCGGCGCCGCGCCAAATCTACCCCCCCCCCGGAAGCCCCGGCGTCTTCAGCGGAACAGGTTATATGTCTGCCAATGTGTTGGTCAGCTACTCTCAGAGCCGCCCTCCACCATCATATCAACAACTTTTGAACGTGAAGAGTTATAGTGGGGATAGTTGATCGAATCCTTGTTAGGCGCAATTTCCTTTCGCTAGCCACCTCCCAAACTTCCATCGCTTGGAGGCGCTGTCCACTCAGATCGTAGGGGTAGAGACACACATCCGCTGTGTCCTTTCTCACTTCTGGGCCTCCTATCATAGCACGGTGAAGAGCAGTGCAGTCCAGTGATGGAAGGACAATACATCCAGGCTGGAAGGACAATTGGGTGGGGTATCTCCGCCCAGCCATCTGTCGCGCAACTTGTGCCTATGGCTCTGCCAAGTTTTTTATGAAGAACGTATCGTAATCGGCTACCAGTCCAGTCTTGTGCTGCCCTTCAATTTAAGCCGACGGTGCGCATTTTTCTTCTCAGCTTTCCTCCATCGCGATTTTGAAGCCTACTCAGCGATCGCTCATGGTTTGCATAGATGACGTTCGTAAAATTTATCTTTTGGATTTTGGGATGTGCCGACGATATATTGATAACGAGAACGCTGTTCGACGACCACGATGGGCTTCTGGATTCAGGGGAACGCAGAGGTCGGTACATCTGATTGTAGGGAAGTTTCTTTCTGACAAGGCTACCAGGCCCCGGAACGCACAGCTAGGAAGCCCAAAGACATACCCCGCGGTCGACTATTTCTTGGGATTCCCCCGCCCAAGGGGGTCTGGTGCATAAATGGGCCACCACTTTCGCAACTCTTCTGTGAGTGACGAGGGCGCTGTTCCCGTAGAATATCGGACGATATTTCACATATAACTGCAACGTGTGATGGCCACAGCGTCCCCTTTTCTCACAGTAGAGCCGCGAAAGTGCGACGACAAACTTTGCGATTACCCACGGGACCACTAAGGAAGGAATCCACTACGGGTTGGTAGAGTGCGAAGTCTGCTTTGAAAGCTACTTTCCAGGTACGTAGTCGCTTGCAATAAGCTGTCTATTGATCTTCGCGAATGCTGAGAAGATGATGCTGAAAGCTGGCCGCTACCAACAAGTATCAATTTTCTTGTTAAACACTGAAACCAACGGCTTCTCAGTAAGGCTTCAAAACTAAAGAACAACACTTCAGATAGAACTGACATCTGGCGAACTTCCGTGGAAATCTCTTGAGGACACTGTTGCCATATGCAATGCCAAGGAGAAAGCACGAACAACCGGTTTGTCCATAAAAGTTGCTGAGAAAATACAGTTTGAGTCAACATATGAGGCGCCGTGAGGGGATATGAGAAGACAGTCGTGCATTGGCCGTGTGCTGTGCGCGTTCGTATCGTGCGGCGCATGACGTAGCGCAAAGTCCTGGACGTCGCCAAACACAGTATAAGACTCACTGACTGTACGATATCCGAAATTTTCGCCATCCTTCTGACTCGTCTTCAACGAAGACAGGAAAATCTGGTCCCGTCAAGCCCTGTTGCTTGACGAAGGCGTTTACATTGCTCTTCCCAACGCTGTCGTCGAGCTTCCAAGCAGACCTTTTCTGTGAATCCGCGTCACAGCATCATGACGAATCATGTGAGGTGTCAGCCTAGTTGCGAGTCTCGGAGGGATGAAATGCTAGGCTGTCCTGGGTTTTAGTCTATCAGAACTTGACGACCCTGTACGTGAGCGAGCCACACTATTACTTCACCTTCTCTTTGTCGCAACGCGCCCCCCTCTAATTTATCATGGGTGCCAGCATCGGTGACATGCCAAAGGGCTTGGCGTCGTGTTAAGCTCTTGACAAGTTCGAAGGGGAATTTCTATCGCCAGGCAACTCGATTGGCCATCGCGCCACCTTGCAGTCCTTACCCTCCTTACCTTGAAGCAAGTTTCCTGTCCCTTGCCGCATCATTTCAAAAGGAACTGTCTCTAAGTCGCCCGCCTCTTACGTCTACAATTCAGATCATCATAGCTGGCGGGGCAATGCAGAGAATTGCGTGTTATCCAATGTAAGGGACGTAACTGCCTATTCCAAACATACTACAACACATGCAAATCAAAAATGGAAGTGCCTTTAAACAACGTGAAGAGCTCGAGTACGAGCTGGCCTGCGCTCGGCAACCTTCCTTGCGGGATTCCATCTTGCCGAACGATCCCGAATACAGACGGAAGGGGAGGGAGTATGTGCATTTCACGCGACTTCAACGGTTTGGTGAAGAGCGGTTGGCGCCCCTGCGCCAGAGCAGACCCGTGGCACGCCCCAGCATCCGCAGCGTACAAAACTTAAGCGCAGCGTGATGGCTCAAATATCGAGGTTTTTTGCAAGACTAGCTCTGGATAGTTTATTTAAGGACTAACCAAATTATTCGCCGGATGTCCCAAAGAATATATTCACATTATGCTCTTACATCGACTCGTTACGTTATTATGACAAGCCGAATTATGCGATAATTCGTGGACTCCTGCGGGATGCACTCACTTCCAATGCACTCAGTGAATTCCCTTATGACTGGGAGCTCGACCAGAGCAAATTACCCGATCCCTCTTCTGCAGGTACAGTTTTTTATCTTCTTTTTGAGCTTGGAACTTGGCGCGATTTCGTTCTCTCCGACGATGGCTGAAGAAACGTAAGGCAATAGAACAACGAACGGCGGTTCGCATGGGAGGGGCATTTTGCACTTTTGCATTACCTTTAGTTCATGTTTATTAACACGTTACACTTCGGTGAGACATATAAAGTCCTGTGCATTCACAAGATAGCCTGAACTTGCTTTGCTAAGTACCATTTGTTGCCCCCACCAAGCGAACTGCGCCCGATTTTTTATTGAGTGTGACATGCATTTCAGCTGCAACAACTCCGCCGAATGAAGCAAAGCTGGAAAAGCCGAAACCTTCGTAAAGATCTCCCAGTTACACAAAAATTGAAAAATATCATCATTTACTTTATGCATTGAAAAATCCAAATCAAAGTAACGATACACACAATCTCAGCATAAATTTTATTAAAGTTTTGACCATTATAAAATAATTTTGTGAGTGTTTAATTCTTCATCACACTTACACTCGATGTCGTCGCAACTGGTTGATTGCGCCGCGATTGATTGCGAGTTGATCAGCTAGATAAAGGGTACCGAACTTAGCGGGCGCGTCCACCACCATCTA